ACTGAAGAGTGTGTAATTACACTAATGCTCCGCTGACTAATAGGCCACAGGGGAGGAGGAGTCCGCTGGCTAGTGTTAGCTCACTTACTGATGCACACATCACACCAGCACCACAGATATGCTTTTGTTACTATGTGTGTGTGTCTGTGTGTGTCCTCACGCACACACACACACACAGATTTGTGTAAAAGTGTTAAGATGAAGGCTATAGAATAAAAGTACAATAGTTTTCTTTTATATCATGTTAATGTGAATGTGTCTAAGGAATTACACTGCAATGCCCATTATGTGCCGCAATAGCAATGACCACAGTTGGGTTTTCAAGTCTACCCATGGATGTTTCACTGGTTGCCTGTTGCCATTTAGACAACAACCTGTGGCATCTGTTGGTGGCTGGAATTTTTTTGGGGGTTTTTTATGTCAACAAATACCAAAACTAACAATAAATCTGTCCTACTTTGAAGTATTGTACAACAATGTCCCTCTTTAAATAAAGTTTATCTTATCTCGGCCTGTGTCTCACCCAAAGAGTCTATTGTCTAAAACACATCAGTGAGCCATACTGTTGCACTGGGTGACATGTTCCCTCATTACCATAAACACATACTGCAGTTTATTTTGACTCAATCCCACACACACCATCCTGCTGCCAGGAATAATCACTAGAGCACCAAATGCGGATTCATCCACCACTGAAAGTAGTTCTCTTCTCCTGTTTGAGCAATGTTTTAATTACTGGCCATTTTTATATCAATTCTGGTGCTGAAAGCCTCAGACAGGGTAGGAATATTTTCTAAGTCTAAGTATTGACAGATGGAGTGACACATTCTTGGTTTTGGTATTGTATGGTTTTTTTCACTGGCTTCCTGCCAGTGTGATCTGCTCTGTCCTGCTTGACGAAGAGTGGGTCATGAGCAGAGATTTGCTTCTGGGATGCGCCGCAGCACATACTCTCTTTAATCTCTGCTTTTAGTCTCTATCAACTCATTCACGAGCTAGTCTCTAACTGTGTGCTGTGTAGGTAGTGTACAGTGGGTTTATCAGCACTTTTTTGCAAAAAACAGCTGCTGCTGAGAACTACGCTGATAAGAGCAGTGGGAATTAATCAAAACAGTAAAGTTGCGGGCCGTTAAATCAAAACAATGAGCTGAAGGACAATAAAATAGAGGATAGGGGGAGAAGCAGCTTTACATATGCACCCACATACAGACTTCCATGCATGTCCCCCACATCCCAGCATCAACAGAAGCCTGACTGACCTGGCAGCAGGCGAACCCTCCAGTATATGCGCAGACACTGCTCCTCCTTGCGGTGGCCGTGCTGGCACTTACAGGACAACAGAGCGGGGTGTTTGGCCAGCAGAGCATCCTGTCTCTCCAGGCACTCCGCGGCCACCTGCTCCCCTAGTGGAGACACCGCTGCGTCGGCTGCACACAGCTCCAAGCCCCGATATAACGCCTCGCACCGGGGGTCGGCAGAGCACACCCGATGAGCTTCAACACAGTCAGTGGGGGCGGGAAAGTAGGGGTAGATGGGCGCTGAGGATGGTAACACACCTAAAAGAGAACAAAAGACATGCATGGAGGGAAACATGATTATAGGGAAAGAAGGTGTAAAGGTCAGATACATACATTAATGTAGTATGAACTCTTCTACACTGGTTGTAGTTAAGTTTAAGGCACCAAAGCAGAAAGCTTCATGCCACTAAGAACCCAACACTTAATGAAACAGGCAACGTCTCGAAACAACAATATTAAAGGCATGGTCACACGAAAAAGCGGTACGTAGAAATGTAGTGACTATATTCACAAGGCTAGCTATACTGGAACTGGAACTACTGTAGCTGATGAGCTAAATGCTGACTTGCTAAGTTGGCTACATTCACGCTAGTTAGACAAAATATCTCCTGGAGATTCTGTGTTTTCTCTCTGTGGATTATTTTACTCTCCTCTGAAATTTTGTCACAAAGTCATTGGAATGATGTGAGCAACACAAATAGACCATTTTGACAGCGGCCGTTTTGACATGAAATAGTAGGGCAAACACAGGTGTTACCAATGATACTAATTAGGGTCCAGTTCCATTTAGGTCAAACAGAGTCAGCGTGCTGCTATCGTACATGTGACTTAATTAGTTACCGGTAACATCTGTGTTTACCCTCCTATTTCATGTCAAAATGGCTGCTGTAAAAAAGGTCTATTCTCAGGAGGAGGAAAAAATGAGGCGAAGATTGTAACTGCTGTTAAATTCATGCAAAACCTACAATGTGTCTGCTCAGCATTAGCTGTATCTACAGTATCTCGCTAACAGGTTTGCTAACATTAGCTACACAGCTATGGCTGTAGATTCTGTGTGAAAGTGTAATAAATTAAGCAAGGGCGCATTTTGTTTTCTTTTAAGAATTTAAAGAAAAGAGATCATACAGAGTAGGCTAACTAAGTGCCACCAAACCACTGCAACAGCTTTTCAAATGGTTAAATGGTGCTAAAAACTGAAGTATTGAATAAATCACTATAGATGGTTTTAAAAAACTGTTGTTCTGATCTAGACATATAAAGTGAGCCACACAACATACTATTGGGAAAGGCTGTGTTCGAGGCTGGATCTTTAGTTTTTGAGTGTCAGTGGGATTTTGAATGAGGGTTTCTAACTTCTGGTACAGAACCTGTAAGTTTTGGTTTCACGGGATTGCTACCTGATGCCTCTTCTGTTCAGAATGTAAAGAAGGAATCTGAAATATATACAATATATGTTCTGTAATATGATCTTGCAGAGTAGGTCCCTAACATAAATCAACAGTTCCCACACTTATAAACAGATTGCATTCATTTAATATTAGTTTGGATATGAATTCATGCTGTGACAGAGTTTGAATGTAAGCAGAACCTTCCTTTCAAGCATTCTCGTTGTGGTTGAGTGGTTTGATTTAAAGCTTTTACACCAGCCTAAATTAACCAAATGGGTAAAACTAAACCGTTTAAAGAGATCCGTGGTGTGAAAGCCTGACAGGTCAGAGAACCCTGTGGACCAGGCTTCATGCCAGTAGGCACGGACAAAGCACACAGGTTGCCTTCAATCTAACTTTCAACAAGGAACATCACATATTCACCCTTCTATCAATCATCTCTTTCAGTTTCCATTTGTAACAAACTACAGCACATGCTCTCAAGATATTCACAGCAGGCATGCGTGGACGACAATCTATGTTTGTTCTCATTTATTTTAGACAGCATTTGGTTTGTGTAGAACCCAAAGTTTCTCCAAGAGGAACTGTTGTTTTCTGAAGTGTTGCTGCTTCGATTTGCAATAGCAAGAAGGAGAGGCTCCCCTGGTAAAATCCAATAGCTGATACGCACAAGAGAAGTGCAGAGAAGTTGTCTGAGGACAGCAGAAATGTCATACAGGGAGGAGAAATAGGGGAACGGAAAGATAGATGGAAAAAGGGAGAGGTGGGCGCAAAGGAGAGGGCGAGAGAGATAGAGGCAGAGAGACAGAGAGCGAGCGTACCAATGTGAACCTTGATGGGTTGGACACGCGCACAGTATGAGGCACAATCAGCATGCACCCCCGAAAATGATGTTCTTAGAATCACACAAAGATGACACATATGCACACACACACAACACACTCCAACACACACACCACACACAATCACACAATCACACAAAACAACACGTATATACACACGCGCATGGCTGCCCTGAGAAGGACCCTTTTATGTATGTGTCCTGCTGGGAGGGAGACTGGGAGGCACAGAACCCATCATTACTACCAGAACACAATACTGCACAACCACAGGGGAGGAGGTGGAGGGGGCAAAGCAATCTGTCTAAGACATACACACACACACACACACACACACACACACAGACTTACACACACACATCTC